AGGAGTTAGAGTCATTATTGGGGAACTGTTCTAACATTTTTATATATGGGCAATTTCATAAAACTTTGGTTTATATACTTTCAAAAGAACATACCTAGCATATCACATAAAGTTAGCTGTTCTTACCTAAACCTGCCAGCCTGAGACTTTCACATTTGCCAGTTTCATGAAAAGAACACACCAGCTTTCTTTAGAACAGAAATATTTTTCTTCCTAAGTAAATAGAATATAGAAAATGTGATTATTTTAATTGTGAAACATCAGTCTTCATATACCTGTGGGAGGAGAAACAGCATACAACATTTAAAGAGATTCTAACTTGATTTGTCTGAATGTTTTATTTAGTAAAGGAGTAATTTCTGCTGAAAATGTCAAGATGGTTAATTGTGCTTATTTGTTTCCTAGGTTCTAAGCTCCAAACTCATGCCAACAGCTGATGATGACATGGCAAGAAGTTGTGCCAAATCCTTCTGTGAGAATTTCCTCAAAGCAGGAGGTTTGAGGTTAGAGTTTTAATATAAATTTCTTCAACATGAGTTGAAGAAAATGAAGATAGTTATTTTAGTTAATTTCTCCTTCAAAGCCTTGCTTGTTCCTACAAGGTATTGAAACATTATAAGAGTTAGGATAAGAAGAAATGATGTTTTAGGCCTTTAGAATATTTTAATTCATTTCGTAACTTTCGATTATTTGAAAAACTTGCAGAAGTACATCTCTTCCCTCGGTATTGGGGGAAATTCTCAAAAAGAGTAGAGCTGAGGAGGCTGTATCTGTTTCTTTTGAGTCTCGTATCAGTTAAAAATCAGGTGAATTTGATTCCCTGTAAATCCATATTGCATAAGGCATTACTGCTGGGGATGCACAGATGAGTTAGATGTTATCCCTGCCCTCGACAGGCTGTGGTTTAACCAAGAATAACAAATGGCCAGGTAGCCATACTATAAATATTAAAACAGGTATATAAAAAGTGCTTGGGAAGGGCAAGAAAGTAGTGGTTAAACTGGTTAAATTTGCTTGGGGTCATAGGTTAGGAAGTACTTCACAGAAAATGACCTTTGAGCTGGGACTTGAGAAATGAGTAGGAATCACCTAGTTCTATAAGGAGGGAAAGGACACTCCGAGCCGGGGTGGAGGCAGGGGCGAGTGAAAGCATCAACGTTTCTTGGGAACTACCGTTGCCTGGGGAGGCTAGAGCAAAGGATGAAAGAGAGAAATATGTAAAGAAAGGTCATCAAGGAATTTGAACATTATCTTGTAGTCCACAGAAGAACAGGCAGTTTCTAAGCTAAGACTTACCTAGAACAATTACACTGGCAGCAGTGGAGAAGGTGAACGCAAGTGGGAGAGACTGGAGGGAGGGAGGGAGAAGTGTTAGGAACTTGAACAGTGGTCCACAGAAGGGGTGGTATATCAATGGCAGAATGGCATTTATAAGGTAAAATAAGCAAGTCTTTATGATGACTTAGACAGTAGGGACATTTATAAAATGGCCTGTGATTTCTAGCTTGGGAAAGTGGCTGAATGGTGAGAGGTCAGTCAATATGGGAAGTAAACACAGGGAGGAGGAGGAAGAGGAAGGTGAGTCCCGTGAAGGGGGTGATTCGGATGCGGTGCTCATGGGAAAGGTGGAGAATGGCTTAGAGATTTGGGAGCGTGTAAGTAAAGCCATTGGGGCAGCAAGCAGCTGTCACACAGTCGAATGCTGAGTGTCAGGTAGGAAGGCAGAATCAGTACGTAGAAGTCTCTGCTTTCAGAAGAGTGAGGGAAAAAGGAGGGACAGAAAGTGGAAGAAAGAATAACTGTGAGGGGAAAGTTGCTTTTCTGTTTTGATTTTAGCATGTAGAAGACTTGGTTCTCTTTAGGCTGACTGGAAGGGGCCAATGAAGGAGAAAAGAATAAAGATAAAAGAAAAAAGGGATAATTAATGAGGCTAAGTTGTACTGCAGTTGAAAGGAGGTGTGCTGTGGATGGAAGAAGGATGCCACTTCCCCTAGGCAGGGAAGGAGTGGGGACCGACACGAGGCCGGAAGCAGTTCCTGTGGACTGGCCGGGGAGAGGAGAGATACAGGAGATGGGAAACAGGGATGAGGGCGGAAAGGACTCCCACATAATACGGACGATCTGGCACACATGTAGTTTTATTCTTTGCTCGACGCTGTAGAGGTGTTTTTCTCAACACTTCTTTCAGATCACTCAGCCATTTATAGGGCTGTGATAATAAAGACATTTACCTTTGGCTTATTTGCTCATGTCAGTTAAGTCACGTACCAGTCATTGCTGTGAGCACTGGGAACAGAGCAGTGAATAGATGAGACCAAAGTCTACGTCCCCATGCAGCTTACAGTCTAGGGTGGGAGACACAGTAAATAAGTACAAGCGTATGTCAGATATTGATGGCAGCTGTAAGAAAATAAAAGGGGAAAGCAGGTATGGAGAGGGTTGTGATTTTCAGGGGTGATCAGGAAAAGCTTCTCCAGTGGGGTGACATTTAACAAAGACCTGAGGGAGACGAGGGAGCGAGACCTGGGGGAAGCTTTCCAGAGGAACAGCCGGCAGAGACCCCAGTGGAAACCTGCATGGTACCTGCGGAGACCCCAGGAGGCCAGGGTGTTGGGGGCAGAGTGAGTGAGGCAGAAGTGGGGTTAGGTAGGATCTTAGAGGCTACGTGAAGACTGCCATTCTCTGTGTAGGAAGTAGGAAGCCATTGAAGGAGTTTGTGCAGAGGAGTGCCATGATCTGACCTGCATCTTTAGAGGATTACTCCGGTTGATCTTCTGAGAATAGATGTGGGGGGTGGAAGGTCAGAAGTAGAAGCAGGGAGAACAGTTAGGAAGGTGTTGTAGTAATACAGGGTGTCATGGATGTGAAAAACAGGCTTTATTGACTGCATCAGTTCTGGGTGTATTTTCGAATTGATAGTTCTACTAGTTAGTACCAAGATTGCAATTGTTCTGTGAACTCAGGCTGGTTAGTGAGAAGGGGAACTGTCTGAACACTGTGTTGGGTACCTTTTTGGCTAAGCCTGTAGTCTCATTCAAATGGACCCGGAGACTGATAGGCATCCTAGGAAATCATTGTGATAGAAATATGCGTGGTCCATTTATATGTAAGAATTTTGTAGAAACTGTATGTAATTGATAACATTTATGAGCAATTACATTACTATACTTACAGAAAATTTCCTGTGGAAAAAATAGAAGTCTTTAATATCCTGCCTTTTTTCTTTTCTTTGAAGTTTGGTTGTGAATGTCATGCAGAGGGATTCCATCCCATCAGAAGTAGACTATGAAACAAGGCAGGGTGTTTATTCTATTTGCCTACAACTTGCAAGGTATGTAAATATATTGCATTAGTCTTATAAGGCGATACTCGACTTTGGTTTTTTACCCAAATCATATCATTTTAAATAGTATGAAATGATCTTGAATAAGTCTAGCTTTTTCTTTTTAAGATTTTTACTTGTTGGACAAACAATGCCCACGTTATTAGATGAAGACCTCACCAAAGATGGAATCGAAGCACTTTCTTCCCGCCCATTCCGAAATATTAGCCGGCAAACAAGCAGACAGATGTCCTTATGTGGTACCCCAGAAAAGTCATCCTACCGACAGTTGTCAGTGTCTGATAGGTCTTCTATTAGGGTTGAGGAAATCATCCCTGCTGCTCGGGTTGCAATACAAGTAAGTGATTTGTGTATTCAAAAAATACTAAGTACCTCTTGTTTAAGTACCTCTCTTGGGTTAGGGGGGCTGTGTGGGTATAAAAATGATTAAGACATGAATATTGCCTTCAAGAAATTTATGGTAACTAAGAAAGAGACCACTACCGCAGAATAACTGTAATTCTAGGTAGAAAGTATCAAGTGCTGTAAAACTACAAAGGCAAAACCTTTTGTGGTTCACAAAGTTGGGATCAGTAAGAAGCTGATAAACCCTCCCGAGGTCAGTGGGATGGGTTTAAGTACTACCTTTTCTCATCACACTCTTTCCATACTTCTTTAGACAATGGAAGTAAGTGATTTCACTTCTACTGTGGCTTGTTTCATGAGATTGTCATGGGCTGCAGCTGCAGGACGGCTTGACCTCGTTGGGAGTAGCCAGCCAATTAAAGAAAGTAATTCCCTGTTTCCTGCTGGAATTCGAAACAGACTCAGCAGTTCAGGTACTGATTTAAAAGGGACGGTAATTAGAACATTGGGTAAGAAATGACTGTAAGAATTATCTGTGTGTAGGTTTATCAGAATCACAAAGGGAGAGAGCCTTTTCTTGTGCTTTTGAGCATGAATAAAAATTCTTCAAGCTACACACTTAATATTTGTGCACATTGTTGTATGTGTGTCATACTTCATTTAAGAAAAAAAGCATTTGCAAACCCATAGAGTAAATGGGGAAACCTAATCAAGTAGTTTTTAGCTTAGCCGAGTGTAACAGTGTCATGAAGCTGATAATTTTGACTGTAATACAAACTCATCTAGAATACTGACCTGGAAAACAGTTCTTTTCTTGGTTTGGCAGGTTATTTTCAATTAGGCCTTTTTTTATATACCTGTATTTCTCAGCTTTGTTTGATTTTCCTGCTCAGTCAGTATGTGTACAAATACCACAATAATAAAGTTTTTAAAATCATGACATACAATAAAGTGCAGACAGTAAAAGTGTATGAGATTTTTCGGATTTTTGTACGCATGTCACCCATCTAGATCAAGTTACAAGATATGGAATATTTCTAATATCCCAGGAAGGCTTCCTGATGCTCCTAAAATTGTACTATTCTTACTTCTATCACTTAAAATTAGTTTTGCCATGTGAACACATTTTGAGTGCCTACAAATATGGTCTAAGGACAAAACACGGGGTATTTCAAATACAGTGATTAAATTTCTCTTGTTTCTTAGACTGAAGTGTTTTATTGAAATATTTAATGTCATGCGAGGATTCTGGAACATATATTAAAAGGATATTAAAGTAGCGCACAGTTCCTGTAGGATCCACAGTAAGGTTCTGCTTGCCTGTTTTCAGGAAGCAATTGCAGCTCTGGAAGCGAAGGAGAGCCAGTAGCCCTACATGCAGGAATCTGTGTTCGACAGCAGTCTGTGTCCACCAAAGACTCACTGATTGCTGGAGAGGCTTTGTCTCTTCTTGTTACGTGCCTACAGCTCCGGAGCCAGCAACTGGGTATGCACGAGGCTTGTTCGTGATTAATCTCTTTAGGGAAAGGCCAGGTTTCTGTTAGGAATTATTTATGTTTCTTCTAGATAAGGTCCCATTTATAGAAATGAAAAAGGACAAAAGTTGGCATGTGGAGTAGGTAAGAATAATGCTGGAGTAGTTCATTCTGAAGAAGTGTTCATTGAAGCACCTTCTGTATACAAGGTTCCTTGTTGCCAGGGCAATATGTTTGCACTCCAGGAGCTTTCTGTCTAGTTGGGGAAATAACTAAGTTACAGAATTAGAATTATCTATCAATTCCTGATAAAGACTCCAGTCTTAAAAATTGTGAAACTTGGCCAGCCACAGTCGCTCACACCTGTAATTCTAGCCCTCTGGGAGGCCAAGGTGGGAGGATCACTTGAACCCAGGAGTTTGAGGTTTCAGTGAGCTATGATAACACCACTGCACTCCTAAAAAAAAAAAAAAAAATTGTGAAACTTAAGATTTGCCCTTTTGTCTTTATTGCTGGCTTTGGTGATCTCTTCTCATTTCACACCCTTAAATTCCATCTGTATACTGATGACACCTAAATTTGGGTCTTGCCCTGACATCTCTACTTGGATATCAGATAGATACCCCAAACTTCACATGTCCATAACTAAACTCCTAGTCTTGCCCATGTCACCCAAGAGTTTTCTCAACCTATTTCAAGGCAGTTTCTTTCTTCCATTTGCTCTGACCAGAAACCTTGGATTCATCCTTGATAATCTTTTTTCACACCCTGCTTCTAATCTGTCAACACATCCTTCTTAAAACTCTGTCTAGATTGCACCCTTTGGTGTCCACTTCTCTGTTAGTACCCTCTGATGGCCATGGTTTCTACCTAGGTTGCAGCAGTAGCGCACCCTAACCAATCTCCCTGCTCCCACCCTTGCAATCTATTCTCCACACAGTAACCAGAGGACACTTTCTAAATTGTAAGTCAGATAGTGTCACTCCTCTTTCAGAACCTTCCAGTGGTTTCTCAGTTCACCCAGAGGTAAAAGCCACATCTTTATTAAGCCTTCAAGACTGACAGAGTCTACCCTGTGACACTCCTGTGCCTTGACCTTCCCCTGCTCTCCCTCTCACTCACTGTGCTTCAGCCACCTGGCCTCCTTGCTAATACCCCAACACCCAAGACACAGTCCTGCCCCAGGGCCCTTGCACTGGCTTTTCCCTCTTTCTGGTACATTCTTTCTCCATCTCTCCACATGGATCACTCTTACTTATCTCCTGCAAGTCTCTGCTCAAATGTCATCTTCTTAGTGAGATGTTCCCTCACCGCCTTTTTAAAAAAATTACAACCCTCCCCTTGCTCCATCGCTACCCAAACCTCTTACCTTATTTTTTTCTATATCATTTATCACTTTATAACATACAATATAATGTATTTATTTATAATTTTTATTGTCATCATCCCCTCCCCAATTAGATTATAAGCTCCATGAGGACAGAAACTTTTGTTCATTTTGTTCCCTGCTGTATCTCTAGCACCCAAACGCTGCCTAATACATAGTAGGCCCTCAAATAAATATTAAGAAATGAAATTTTAGCAACTCCACTTATAAAAAGTGTACCAACACATAGGAGCCCTACTCTTAGCTATTGATTTAGTTTGATTTTACTTGAATTGTTTATTTTAGAGCTATTTTCAAATCAAGATGAAAAAATTATAGCTTCCTTCCAAGCTTTTATCTATTCTTTTTTGTAAGTTTATTTTAGGGCATATTCCATAGGTTGTAAGTATTGATAGTTTACCAAGGCAAGACATATTTATTCTGTAACTGGTATGTGCAAGGCATTGAGCCAAAATAAGAGGTATAAAAATGACTAAAACACGGTTCCTTCTCTTGAGCTCCTTAAAATTTCAGAGGGTGAATGGCAGAAATAGAAGCAGTTATAGAAGGTCCTAAATTCTGATTCCATGTAGAAGGGATGAATTTCTGCTCAAGTTGAGCTTAAGAAATTAATCAAAATTTTCAAAACCTTGAAAATGCATTGCCTAACTTAGTTCCTCCCTCCCCCAATTCTCTTTATTCTTATTATTAGCATCTTTCTATAACTTGCCCTGTGTTGCTGATTTTATCATTGATATTCTGCTTGGATCACCAAGTGCTGAGGTAAGGATTTCTTACATTTCTTACAAAAACTCCTTCGGTCCTGTTATGTTGTGGGTTCTCTTGGGTACCTGTGACATTGTGGGGAGTACAGGAGTGGCACTTAGTCCTCTCAGGGAGTCATACAAAGGGACTGCAGACCATGAAAGAATAGTGACCATTTGGACTATACTGCCTTCCCTTCCAATACCTCCTCCATATTCCACCGAAAGTTGTGAAACCAGTGTTACAATTAATTTCTATTTGTTTATAACAAACAAAATGTTATAGCCCATGTTGAGCATCCATAGCTTGCAAGGGCAGCTGGCGTTAAACATCAGTATGTTCGAATCAGGAAAGACCAACTTCAAGCCATGAACTTGCAATAGATTTTATAATTCTGACTTCCCTTAAATGACCTTGAGGATTAAATTTTTAAACACCTTTTTATTTTCATTTGTATCAAGTTAAAAACTTAATTGATTAGAGTAGAATAGTAGAATAATTTGGGAAATCGGTTCCCAAACCACACTTGTTTTTAATTAGCCCTAGTTTTATTGAGTGGAAACTTTACCCTTACAAATTGAAACACTCATACTTTATAGTATCCCTCAGTAACATGAGTGAATAAATAATGTAGCCGTTAGAAGAAAATCACTTTTTAAGCTGTTTCTAAATCTATGATTCCCAGCCCCCAGGCTACAGACAAGTACCAGTTCATGGCCTGTTGGGGACCAGGCTGCAGAGCTCCACCCCAGCCCTGTCCCCCAATCCGTGGAAAAATTGTCTTCCATGAAACCAGTCCCTGGTACCAGAAAGGTTGGGGACCGCTGCCCTAAATGTTGATTGATACATGTCCTTTGCCACTAATCATGTAATTTCAGATTCGCCGGGTTGCCTGTGATCAACTGTACACTCTTAGTCAGACGGACACTTCAGCACATCCGGATGTACAGAAGCCAAATCAGTTTCTTCTAGGTGTCATTCTCACGGCTCAGCTGCCTCTCTGGTCCCCAACTAGTATTATGAGAGGAGTCAATCAGAGGTACGTGATAAAAATGAGGACACTCAGGTTATACAGAGAGAAAGGATAAATGATAATTTGTGTACTGCTCCCCTAAAGTCCACAGTACATTATTGAGATGATAAAAGAATTTCTCCTTTCTTCTAACATTTGGACCCTGAAAGAGGGCATTTGTGTTTTTCTCCCCATCGAGGACAGGAGAGTTAAAAGAAACACGCCCAAGATTTCTTATCCATTGTCCCCAACTCCAGCTCCATCCATCAGGTTCATCTACCCCAGACAGAAAGAGGAGCTCACCTGGTTGGCGAGAGCCCAGAATTATTTCAGCCAGGTCACACTGATCCTGCCTTCTTATGCATCCCTTTCTCAGCTCAGATATTTCATAGATCCATGTCTAGAGGTAGCTAGGGTATCCTCCTAGCTTGCTTTCTTTTTCTTACTCTAAAGCTTTTAGTCATTCACCACTGAGTATGTTAGCTGTGGGTTTTTCATGTTTGACTTTTGTTATGTTGAGGTAGTTTCTTCTGTTCCTAGTTTTTTGAGTATTTTTATCATGAAAGGGTGTTAAACTTCATCAAATGCTTTTTCTGGTATTTTTCCTTCTTTCTGTTACTGTGGTATTACATTGAATTTCGTATGTTAGACCATACTTGCGTTCCAGGAGTCAATCTCACTCATTCACGGTGTATAATCCTGTAAATGTACTGCTAAATTTGGTTTGTGCTAGTATTTTGTTGAGGATTTTTGCATCAGCATTTATATGCAGTTTTCTTGTGGTATCTTTGGCTTTGGTATTAGGGTAATGCTGCCCTCATAAAATGGGTTAGGAAGTGTTACCTCCTCTTCAATATTTTTGAAGAGTTTGAGAAGGACTGGTGTTAATTCTTCTTTAAATGTTTGGTTGAATTCACCAGTGAATCCACCTGGTCCAGGGCTTTGCTTTGTTGGGAAGTTTTTGATTACTGGTCCCTCTGCTTGGTAGTATATGTTTATTCTTTCCTATTTCTTCCTGGTTCCGTCTTGGTAGGTTTTGTGTTTCTAGGAATTTGTCCATTATATCTAGATTATTCAATTTGTTGGCATACAGTTGCTTATGGTACTCTCTTATGTCCTTTTATTTCTGTAAAATTGGTAGTCATGTCCCCACTTTCCTTTTATTTGAAAGACCAGTGAGTCTTTAATTGAAATGTTTAAGCCATTTTTTAGGAAGTTATTAATAAAACTGTTCTGTGTGTCATTGTAAGAGTCAGTTTAATATAACTAAATTTTAAGAGTTTGATTTAATATTAAGTTTCTCTAAACTTCGGGAAAGAAGCAGAAAGTATTAGATGATATTTTTGACATATATTCTCAAAGAATCTCTTTTAAAAATATGATGAATGTAGATGTTTAATTTCACATAGGATTGAATCTTTAATTATGTGTTTGCATAATTTTGAAAATTATATCTCACAGCTTTTTTTAAAGCCCAAGTTAGGTAAAAATTTTTCCCTTAGTAATCATGATGATAACAGCAATTACCATGGTCTAACTATGTGCCACATAACATGCTAAAGTCTTTCCATGTATTTGTATTTTAAGCCTCAGAATGGTATGAGTTTGGCAAGTTTTATTAATTTTTGAAAACCATAATTCTTGGTTAATTATATAGTCTCATGATTAGTCCATGCTTGAGCCTTTTATGTATGTTTGTATGTGTGTATGCATTTTTATTCTTAATACTATAATAAGCATTTTAGTGATTAGAAAACTGAGAGAAGTGAAATAAGTTGTCTATGGGATATCCAGCTGTATGTAGTGGAGCCAGGATTAAAACCAATGTCTGTCCGATTCTAAAACCTATGCTATTAACTACTGCAATTGCAGGAAAAGCTTCCTTGATCATTCTGCATAAAATAATTTCCCTGTCTCTTTCTCTTTCGCTCTCCTTTATTTTTCTTCTTAGTGCTTATCACCACTTGACATATGTGTTTACGTTTTATGTGTTATCTGTCTCCTTTGTTCTTTTGTTCACTGTTCCACTACAGCAGTTCCAGGCATTTGGTAGGTGCTTAGTAGGTATTAGTTGTTACTTAAATGAATGTGATAAGTGTACTATGTATGCAGTCAATGCATATATTATTTAAAATGTGATAGATTTAATAAGTTGCTTTCTCTTTACACTATTATTCCTGTACTGTATATGCATTAGTAAAATCATTAATGTGCTTTTTGTAAAAATACAAAATTTGAATTAATAAGTAGTTAATAAGTATTAATTTGTATTAATTAAGTAGTTATTTTATACTTAGGAAAATTATCTTAATTTTTTTACAAACTTGTTCTAACAGGGAAAATGTTTTTTATTTTCAAATCAGACTCTTTAATAACGGAAACCTTTCTGTTTTTTAGACTATTGTCTCAGTGTATGGAGTATTTTGATTTGAGGTGCCAATTATTAGATGATCTAACGAGTAAGTAATGTTTAGCTTTGATTTGTGGGGAGAAGGGGTTGGGAAGGAGTAGAAAAGAAAGCCAAATGGACATTTCTAAATCTGATTTACATATCTTAGGTGTAAGATGAATTTTGTTTTTGTGAAAATAGCATGTAAATCCATGTACCAATGAGCTCTTCTTCTATTATATACCCAATTGTTAATGTGTTGAGAAGATTTGTTGATTTTAAAAATCATCAAAGACTCCTATTTTAATTATACCAACACAGAACTGTTGTAAAGGGTCTTCTCTAGTAGATTCTATTCTGACACTTTTTAAAGGTTCATCATTGAAGGAAAGAGGGACTCTCTATTGAGGCATGTTGATAGTGATAAAAATCAGGTAAGTACTTAGTGTTAGGTGATTTAAGTATCATTGTTAAAAGTTCTCTTATTAGTGTGCTGAAATTTTAATCTTTGTACTTACCCTTAAATGATGCAAATGTATGTTGGAACGCTCTGTAAATTTTAGTTGCAGATAATAGTTTGTTATTAATAGTTTATTTCCCACACTTTACACAAAGAATTTGCTTCAGCTTACAGGAAATTAATTAAATAAAAATCAGGATCAATGAAAATATTAATTGGAAAAGAATGTCACAGCCAGAAGGAAAAAACATACCTTGCATATATACAGGCTTAAATTCCCACACAGTCAGAATTTGGTTGTGAGGTTCCTGGAGGTCAAAGATAAAAAGGGAACAGCATATTGAGTTGTTCTCAATACCCAGTAAGAAGAAACAGAATAGTTTCTCAAAAGAAGCAAATCTTTTTCCTGGTACTTAAGTCTAAAAGAAATATTATGTAAAGGCTTTCATGTAGTGAACACACAAAGATACAGTGACTAATCATCCTCAGCAACATCTCTGTGGCAGCACAAATGCCTTCATTGGTTTCAGCAGTGTCTCTCGAAAACTGAGGACACAGCGCTCTGAGCTATGCAGGGAAATTGGTTTTGTGGAGACTGAGATATTTAATAATGTAGTCTGAGTGTGCATCCCGATTCAGGGAGTTCTGTTGGGTCTGGAGAGTGAATGGACTCGTGTGCACCTGGCAGTCTAGCCCAACACTGCGTTCCAGCCAGGCTCCAGTGAAAGCTGGCCAGCAGCTGTGAGGGTCTGCCCTCTGCATTGCTGTTTGAGGACTGGGATCATGAGTTGGCTACACACCCGCAACTGTACGAAATGAACAAGTTATTAATGTGTGTTGTGAGTGGTAATTGAGGGATCCAGGGTCTCATTAGGATCTTGGGGATCTTAATTCTCAGGTAATATGTCTTGAAACAATGATTGCCAATTTTAGAGTATCTTCTGTAAGCCAGTGCTTATATTAGGCACTTCATACACGACTCCCTGCAGTGTAGGTGTTGGCCCCATTGCATGAACAAGGAAACAGGGTCACACCATGAGTCAGTGGGGGAGACAGGGTTCATTTCTGGTGCCAGTCCAGTTCTGTCCAAGCCTGGAGTGTCCTTCACCGTGCAGGGACCCTGCTTGCTTCCCACCTCAGTGCAGTGGAAGAGGAGCATGTTCACTTTTGCTCTCCTCCGCAGTCAAAATTTCCAGTATGGAATTGCAGTTTAAATCCTTGTTTGAAGGGGAAAGTGAGATGCTTAATACAGAAGAACAGAGTAGTTCTCAGGAGTTTGGCTCCTCGTTTAGAAACCTGGATTCCGGCTGCTGTGACCTCTTTCTCCCTTACAGAACTCAGCCCTGCCTTAGTTGAGGTAACTGCAGGAGCAATGGTTCTCCTCATACCCTTCTACCCCTTCCTGCTCAAGGAGAGTTTGTTCCTGGGACAGCTGCTAACATCCACCAAACCAGGAGCTTCTTCAGAGCGAGGATGTCCGCTTCATCTTATATCCTCAGCATAAAGCACAGTGACCTGCACCGAGGGGGCAACCAATTAGTGTGCGGTTATGAATGAGGAAGCCTTCATGGTCGCTGTACACTGCAGCCGTAGCCTGCTGTTTGTTAATGACAGTCTTTTTGAGATGTGTGACGTGAAGGATTGAAACTTGGCTTTGCTTACTTTAATTCAGGACTTTGGCTCCATGAAGTGAAATCCTTTCTTTGTCATGGATTTTTTTTTTTTTTCCCCCTTAGCTTCAGAAATGGAGCAGTTAAGAATCAGCCCAGCTACCATGCTTGAAGATGAGATTACTTGGCTGGATAACTTTGAACCTAATCGCACAGCTGAATGTGAGACCAGTGAAGCGGACAACATCTTATTGGCAGGGCACTTACGCCTCATTAAGACCCTCCTCTCACTCTGTGGGGCAGAAAAGGAAATGCTTGGTAATTATAGCTTCATTTTATCTTGTGGCAGAAGACCTCAGTTCTCAGTTACTGCCATAGCGCTGTGTGTAATTGGGAAAATAAGATAGGTGCTAAATGTTCCGTGGAAAATTGACCCTTCAGGTAGTACGAAATTGTCTGGAATTTCAGTGGCTAACAAACTGTGTTGTTAAACCACATAGAGAATTTTACAGTGTTCCAAATGGTTGAATCATATAACTTCTTAATATCAAATAAAAATTATAATTAAAAGTAGGCTTTTCTTTTTAACTGTTACATGCTTTATTATGTATAATCTGTTGTATATCTTACTTCTATAAAAGGTGATTCTCATCTGGGGAGGCAGCCCCTAACTACCACCTCCTGGTGGTGCGACACATATGAGATTCTCCTAGGGTACACATATTTGTAAAAGCATATTCAAATTAACTATCACTTTTATAACACAAACTAAGCTCTACAAAATCTTCTTGGCTACTGGGGATACATAGAAAAGAGTGATTCTTGACCAGGGAGAGAAAGGCCTATCATTTTTACCTAAAGAAGGCAGTATTTTAAAGGTTTCAAAAACCCTTGTGTGGACTCCCCTATGCCCAGAAAAGAATTAATTACTCATTCAAACCTTTCTGCCTTGTGGCGTTCTCGGCACTCGTGTATCTAAGTGAAAGCTTGATGCCTTTCACCATAGCGTAGGCTCATAAAGGAAGGCACCCTCACTTCTCTGTGTTTGTGTCCCGTCCCACTCATCCCTACCCCTCCACCCCACAGAGCTTTGCCACATAAGCACTCAAAAAATAAGCATTAAACTGAATGCCCTGCCACTGGGTGGCCTCGGGTGCCTTTGCTGCTCTGGTAGGGAAGTGCATGATAGGATCTTTGAATTAAAATATGTGTTCATCTTCAATATGAATATTATGCTCTATTCCAGGTTCATCACTCATTAAACCATTGTTGGATGACTTCCTTTTCCGAGCTTCTAGAATTATTTTAAATAGTCATTCTCCAGCTGGCAGTGCCGCCATCAGTCAACAGGACTTTCATCCAAAGTATGGAAAATGCGCGTTGTGTTCAGTTTTGGTAAAAATTCTAATTCGAAACTTTAGTCTAAAAAGACTTTCTTAACTTGGACTTTGTCTTCCATCTGTGAGTCTTTGTTACCCTGTAAGATATTTTCCACTATATAAAGAAACGTGTAAAGGGGCTTAACATCAAGCCTGCCTGCCACATAGTAAGCACAGAGCAAGTATGCTGGTACCGTTATTATTAAAGTGGAAGAAGAATTAATGATGTGGCTAACTTGGTCAGTAACAAATAAAGGTTATAAGAATTACATACAAGGGAAAAGTAAATAGGCTCTGAGTAGAATCGTGAGGGTTTCTCAGGAGAAAAGGATAGGTACTTTAGTGCGTGAACGTTGTCATTTGCTGAGTATTGACTGTGTTCTGATAACTGCAATCGCTAGGGATTTATTACAGTAGTAATTTTGGAATCAAATTTTGTGTCAGTTTTTATGGGTACAAATTCAAAAGATCTCTTTGTATAATAACATTGACTCTACTTGAGTGATAGTGATATCTTGGAAATGGGAAGAAGAGGTAGCTACAAGCTGCCATCTCATTTGCTCTGAATCTAACTTTTTTCTTTTCTCATGAAAACCAGAGTTAGTTGAGTAATCCTAAAGAAACTGAGGATTTGGTATTTACAGTGAAAACGATATAATTTCAGTGGTTATTGAAATGGGCAAGGCATAATAAGCAATGTTTTGTGGAACCTTAAGAAGTATCTTATCATGTATAAATATTTCTCTACCCTGAGATTCCTTATTAGCAAAATCTCTTTTAGGTTAAAAAGACCTTCATTAGAACCTTGGGGTGTCCCTCAGACTGTGACTCCCATCCTCATACTTACCCTAGTCTTGTTTTGGAAGATTTGGTACTAGGTCCATGGGAATCTTTTATTAGAGCAGCAGAAATACATGAAAATTTTTATTTTCAGTAAACAACAAAAAATAAATCTTCAGCAGTTTTATTTTTGTTAAAAATAATACCTCCATAAATAAGGGAGTGTCTTTTAAAAATCATATACAGTGCCCTGAATAGAAGACATTTGTTTCATCCCTCCCCAGTATACTAAATGGTGTTCATTTATCACAGTGACTCCCAGCCTTTTTCCACAGAACCTTAAACAAGAGATTTGAAATACCCAGAAATTCATTTCAGAAGTAATGCTATTCTTATATCATAATAACAAAACAACTTCTTAATGTTTAGCCTGTGTGTATGGTACCTCCCTATTGATTTCTTACCTGTCCTTTGCAACCTGTAAGTCCAGACAAGAAGCAAAAGATGATGCCAGCTCCAGGGCCATTGTCGTCAGTGCCTGGTGCAGTGCTGACCCAAGAGCCCTGCAGCCCCTCCTTGAACACTTCCTACACTCCATAAATGCTTTGTTCAAAGGTTGGATATCCTCTTTTCTGTGTATCCTTCCTAACCTGTGATCCCCTCAGTAACGTAAGGTTGGCCTAGGTTGCAGTGAGAAATTACTGTCCATCCCCAAAGTGATTTCTACTAAAAGGCAGACAGTATAGGAAGGCTTTGATTTCCTGCAGAATGCTTGCTAGTTATCTTTTATGTCACTTTCAAAGAATTGATTGGACAAACTATTTCTACCTCCATTTTTTTCAGCCAAGTGGAAAGTCGATTAGTGTCCTTGAAGAATTTTTGATCTTCAGGCACATATAATGTTTATGGATATCTATTCTGATTTACATAGCTTTCTTTTTCTGCCAATTAGATATTCACATTTTAGGGTGATGGCCATAAAATCTTTCTTCCTACCTATTTTAATTGAAAGATAGTTATTCCATGTTACATTTATTACACAGTTCTCTCTTCTCCATTCTTGCTGATCCATTCCTTAGATACGAATACTCTGGAGTCATAAGTGAAAGAATTTTCCTACTTTATCATCAAGCCAAGAAGATATTTAGCTCTAAGCCTATTCATGACCTGTAGATCACTACATTTCTCTGAGTTTAGACCGGACTTAATTATGTTTGAGGAATTGCGGCTCTGATACTTTCATTTCAAATGTTGGTTTAGTTTAATGAGCAATTTAAGTAGATGATTCATTGTTGAAATCGACTTGTGTCTTTGTTTTTAGGTGTAGTACAGTGAATAGCCGATTGGCAGCCTATGAAGTCCTTGTAATGTTGGCCGATAGTTCACCTTCAAATCTTCAAATTATTATAAAAGAGCTACTTTCTATGCATCATCAACCTGACCCTGCTCTTACCAAGGAGTTTGATGTAAGTTTTGTAAACCTTGATGTACTGAATTTTTTTTTAGAATGATCTCTTAAACATACAACTTTAAAGCTATGTTTGCATTCTTCTACAAAGAGAGTCAGTATTTTTTGTATACTGTGTTCACATACTCAAATCAATTATAAACTATAGTATTAGTCTAATCCACTATAGTATATTATAAATTGGTACCCGTTTAATTAAAGAGGAGAAGCATTTGCAAGTTGGTTGATAGTTATTCTCAATAAAAAATAGCATTCCAACCTATTTTTTGAGTAACTGTATGCTTGGCATAGTGCCAAGCACTAGAGATACAAAGTCAAGTAAACATTGGCTCTGCCACAGCACAGTTTATATAGGTTCAGTTAAATTCAACAGATTTATTGAGTTTATTGTGTGCTAAGAGGTATGTTAGGCTTTTGGAGCTCAAAAACAAAAATATCCTAGCCTTCAAGAAGGTCAGTGTACAGTGGAAGGGGCTGACCCATAAGCCGATAATTTCAATGTAATGGGATACAATATAAGATAGAGATATGTCCTGATTGCTCTACTAACACAGAGGCGCTTCACTACCACTTGGTAGTGTCTTAGAAGGCTTCCTAGAGAAGATGGAACTTAAAATAGAGCCCTATAGATGAGTGAGCCAATTGAAGCAAGGTGGGAAATTCATTTCATTACAGCAGTGAGAAGAATGTGAGCAAAGCTATGGAGCCATGGAACAGCTTAGTGTATGTTAGGATCTGCAAGAGGGAAGTAAATTATAGGTGCACTAGGATACCAGACCAGGAACACAAGGACACATTTAAAGCTGCTTTTGTGTTCTCCTCTAACATCACAGAAAGTCAGACTTACCCTTTGGATGCCTTGAGCATTATGGAACATACAGGTTAGGCAGGAAACGAAGTGGGGACAGACTCCTAGGTAGAGGAAATGGCACTTGCACACACTTAGAAACGTGAGAGCACGTAAATTGGGAACTGTTTTGACTTACCAAAACAGGTAGTTTCTAATGCTTTGTGATGCTTATTTTATGCCATGTTTTAGCTTTATATGCATTTATTTAATAATCAGATTTAAATGAACACTTCATGTTTTTTCTTAAATCAGGGATTATACCAGCATAATGATGAAAATATTTGTATTAGGTAAATACTTATATTTTTAGCACTGTTACGAGCCAGTTTTTAAGATTTTGTACCTTTTTTTAAAAAAATCTATTCATTGGACTACAGATAAATTTTAGTGGTAATCAGATCTTAGAAATCATCCTGCTCTAAATGTATATCTAATGTTCATGAAAAGTATGTAATATTTAGCAATTCCTCAAGGTCTAAAAGACCTATAGGTTTTTGTCAGCTAATTGGTTATTAAGTGGACACAGATACTTGATATGTGCAGGTAACATGATTCTAGTCATGGCATAAGAACCAAGATTCTGTTGTAATAACATTTCAGAGTGTCTGATTACAGTATCCTTTTCCACTTGGAGAAGTGCCATGTTGGACCTTATCCCAGATGCCTCTTCTGAATTGTTTCTACCCAGAATAGCACTGTAATGGTGTCTGTATTTCAGAACATCTCTAAGTGCGATGGAAGGGTATTTACCTATTTATTTAATTGTATGCTCATTAAAAGAAGTTTAATACAAGAATGTTACCTTCTCTAAAACAAAGGGAATGAATTTGAGCCTTCCTTGACCATCCAGACTGGTTGGTTGTGCTTCTTCATGGTAAACACTTCACAGAACTTTTCCTTTTTTTCATAGTACTCCCTCAGTTTGTAAATATTTATTAGTATATTTATTTAATTAATGCCTGTCTACCCTCTTAGACCGTAAGCTCCTTGAGATCAGGGACCATGCACATTTCTGTTCTCTCTTGTATCCCTGGCACAGTGCTTAGCGTATAGTAGGCTCTCAATAAATATTTGTTCAGTGATAATCAAGTTACTACATAAACAAATACATACCTCCTATATGCAAGGACTTTATGAAAGAAAAGAGACATTGAGATAATAGTATTTTATAATTGTATTAGTATCTGCAGAAGTACTTCATGAACATGGGTTTTGCTAGCATGACTTTGATAACACACTGGATGGACAAATCTGTGAGTGTATCTCTTTTCCCTCTTAGACATCCCACACAGCTGTAGTGGAAATGTGCCTGTGGCAGAGATGCTAATTTCTCTTTTCTACTCTCTGTTCCTCTCTTTCCCAGTACCTCCCCCCAGTGGACAGCAGGTCTAGCTCAGGGTTTGTGGGGCTGAGGAATGGCGGCGCGACTTGTTACATGAATGCAGTCTTCCAGCAGCTGTACATGCAACCTGGGCTCCCAGAGGTGATTTCCTTCCTCTGTCCTATTTGCTGTGAAAGATGTATATGTTGCCTGAAATTAGCTCATACTTTTTTATTGCTTTTATGGTTTGCTAAAGCTAGACATAACTAGGGTTTCTTTAGTAGCTTCTGAAATCTTTATAGACACGTTGTTCATAGTCACATATTTTTATAAATCTGTTGTAATAAGCTTCCTGTATTACAGACGGACTTGACCTTTGTGATTTTTGAACTCCAAAGTTATTCTCAAATTCTATTCCATAAAATTACTAACATTTTTAGTATTTTAGAAATATGCAGGCTCTATCATCAACATTTTATAATAACATAGTAGTAACATGATATGGCAGCAGTTTTGAGAGTATTCCATGTCACACTTATTTCTTGTAGAGATCTTGGTGTTACTAGGCCAGTTTTGCATAATCAAACAGAGGCTTAAAGGCATGATTTGTTCATGATTATACCAGCTAGCAAGTATTGAAGCTAAATATCTGCATAATCATAGTCACGTCCAAACATAGTAGCATTCTGAAAAAAGCAGTGTGCATACTCTTGTGCACATGTGTCAAAGTTTCCTGGGAAGCAGTTAAATATTTCTAACTTAATACATTTCTTTTCTTTATAGGCATTACTTTCAGTAGATGATGACACAGACAACCCAGATGATAGCGTGTTTTACCAAGTGCAGTCTCTCTTTGGGCATTTGATGGAGAGCAAGCTGCAGTATTATGTACCTGAGAACTTTTGGAAGGTATCTCGTCCAGTAACTCTTTAAAGATGTTAGCTACTTGGAGTTTGGCTATGTTTTTTCTCTAGCAATATGGTTTCTTATGTTTATTAACTCTAGACTAATCCCATTACCAAAGCCTATAAAAGGATTGGGTATGCCATTGTTCTTGAAATTAGTTCTTGGTCACATGATTAGAATGTTGAGAATAGTCATTCATAACTCCTAAGGATTCTCTAATCTTAATTGTTGTGAATGTTTTTCAAAATTCTCATTTTAGCTCTTTGAAATATTTGTTCAAATCATTTCTCTGAACCTGTGCCAACTTCACTAATGCCTTTAAATAGAGAACATTATTTGTAAACATTGCTTTACTACGTTTCACATACTGGAGGATTACCTTGTGTTTTCCCCCGTGGATTGGTTAGTTTCTAAGAGAGAAACTGTCTGTTCCTGGCCTTAGCTCTCACCCCATACTCACCTCTGGTTTCAGAGACTTGTTATTATTACAGGGGACCAGGGAAAAGCGTGGAAGGCTGAATACAAGCTAGTCTCACTTCAGTAAAAACTTCCACATCCTAACAATGAACTTGGTTTTTAGAAGAATTTAAGTACTCTTCCACATTCTCTTTCTACTACATTCAGAAATTGTTACTTTTCCTTTAAAAACGTATTTCATTTTTGTTATATAGATTTTCAAGATGTGGAACAAAGAACTTTATGTGAGAGAACAGCAGGATGCCTATGAATTCTTTACTAGTCTCATTGATCAGATGGATGAATATCTCAAGGTAATGAAAGTTTCACTTGCTGACTCCCTCAGACTTTAATAACAGTATCTTAGGACTTGGGGTTATTGTGAAGCTGACAAATGAGAAACTGATTATCTTTAACATCATAACTATAATTCGTTTTTTCTGGGTTTAAACACACATGGATCAGTAGAATTGTATATTTCTTTTCTAAATTCACGTAACATTCAATAAAGTACATAGTTCTTAATCTATACTACACAGTGATAACCGTTTGTACCTATGTATTTTTGCTGTGTATCCATTGAAGGACTGCTTTAGTGCAGCTAAGAGTGCTTCAGTCACCAGTGAGCTGATGGCCCCATGCAGAGCAGTCCTGGAACTCAGGGAGTCCTCTGGCAAAGGGGATGAGGGGACCAGATTAAAAAGTTATTGGTAGTGATGTTTAAACGCAAGCTTTCTACCCCTACCTGGTAAAACATGTGGCAGACTTTCTAAATGGCCCGTTACCACTGTCAGCACCGGCCTCTCATCAGTAGGCACAATTTTTCCCTTTTTGTTTTTAAAATAAGTTATTAATTTATAACGTTCTGTCTACAAGAAAAAAGAGAAGACTGTAGAGAGTTGCTACTAGCATGGTGATGATGGCACAGGGAGAAGAATTAGGAACGGAGAACTCTGTTATCATCAGCTCTGCCTGACCTCTTTTCTCCTCCTCTCTGATTGTTTGCATCGCTCTGACAGTGGGTCTGATGATGGCCCATTAACCCCATTTGTCCCGGCAGAAACTACCAAAGCTCATTTTATTTTGGTAGTTAAACTGAAGTCTGTGTTTTAGGTTAGGCCTAAACAAATTTCTATATACCTGTAAGTTTTAGGGACATCAATTAAAATTTTAACTTTTTATTCCAACAGAAAATGGGGAGAGACCAAATTTTTAAGAATACTTTTCAGGGCATCTATTCTGATCAGAAGATCTGTAAAGATTGTCCTCACAGGTTAGTGAAGATATCACTGACATAAAAAATGATGGTCATCATTTTTAAATGATTTTTCTAGTATGTTGTGAATTTTGTGTTTGTTGAGAAACTTGTAAATCTGTCTCTCAGTGGATCTATAAATATTTAATTAATTGCAGTTCTCTGGTTTTCATTTCCAGAATTTTATTGTGGCCTTAAGAAAATATTTGTTGAGATTTATAATTTTAAGCGATTCTAAATTGTCACAATTTGGTGTTTTTATTTGGAGTGTACTTTAAAAGGTTGAGAGAAGACGTGTGTTAATTTCACTAATTAAGCATGTAGTTCTTTGTTCAAGCTCAGATATAATGTGATAATTTCCGGAGTTTTTAATTTCTTCATTGATCATGGGTTCTCTGTTACTTCCTAATCAGATATGAACGTGAAGAAGCATTCATGGCTCTCAATCTAGGAGTTACTTCTTGTCAAAGTTTGGAAATTTCTTTGGACCAGTTTGTCAGAGGAGAAGTTCTAGAGGGAAGCAATGCATACTACTGTGAAAAGTGTAAAGAAAAGGTATTACATTTGCCCTTTTTAAAAAACAAGATTAATTTGGTATTAATGTGTTTTATGTAAAATCAGTATTGAGCACCTCTGGTTACTTCCAGTAGATGGTGTCATTACTTGTTTTCACGTGGGTAGGAAAGGCCTTTGTGTTAATTACTTTGCTGTTTTATTTTCTTCATGGAAATAATTGATTTTTTGCTTTTCTTTAGAGAATAACAGTGAAAAGAACCTGTATTAAGTCTTTACCTAGTGTCTTGGTAATTCACCTGATGAGATTTGGATTTGACTGGGAGAGTGGACGCTCCATTAAATATGATGAACAAATAAGGGTAACTTTTTTCTTTTTGAAATTGTTAATGGTCATTACCTCACTCACTTCTTCTCTTTTTCCTGCTTCTGTTTTCAAATTCCAGGTACCATGTGAAAGGGTGTGTGTTCGGCATTATGAGGAATACAGCTCCGTGTCTTAAGCAGCTGCTGCTAGTAGAATAGGCAGATCTGTAAACAATAGCCCTCATTTCTGGAAGACATCCTAGTGATCTCTGTGAAAGAAAATGCTCCCCTTAATGCTCAAACCAGAGGCTATTTATACTTTCCCAGACTTAGCCTCTCTGAGATTTTGTACTTGAATTGGAGAGGTAGTTATTCCTAGCTTAAGTTAGGAAAACACATCCTCCTATTTGTACCTGACGTGATTGGGCACTGCTGTGTACGTTACTAATCAATATTAATATGGTCTTTTTGCTTTCACATAGTTTCCTTGGATGCTAAACATGGAGCCTTACACAGTTTCAGGAATGGCTCGCCAGGATTCATCTTCGGAAGTTGGTGAAAATGGGCGAAGTATGGACCAGGGAGGTGGAGGATCCCCACGAAAAAAAGTTGCCCTCACAGAAAACTATGAACTTGTCGGTGTCATTGTCCACAGTGGGCAGGCACACGCAGGCCACTACTATTCCTTCATCAAGGATCGGCGGTAAGGGTTTCGTGAGGCAGCACTCGCCCGCTCTGCCCTGCCAGTGTCTCTGCTCTGCTCCCCTGCCCTCCTTTGTCATCGTACTTATCATTATGTGCAAAGAAACTTTGCATTCTTCTGTGATCTTACTTCATTTTGAATTTTTAAAGCTTAGTATAACTCTTTTTATCCCTTCAATTTGAAAAGTTATTTTAGAAACTGAAATAACTGATGCTGCATTTTTCATAAAGATTTTCAAGTGACACTCAGCTGCTTTATTTATAGACAATGCATAGAGACAAATACTGGGCATGAGGATGTTTATTTTTTAACCTTATAATGTTTGTCTGCTCTCTGGGATCTAGGGGGTGTGGAAAAGGAAAGTGGTATAAATTTAATGACACAGTTATAGAAGAATTTGACCTAAATGATGAGACCCTGGAGTATGAATGCTTTGGAGGAGAATATAGACCAAAAGTTTATGATCAAAGTAAGTGTTTACAAATGGATATTTTTCATT